AAAAAAAAAAAAAATACATACCCTCTACGGACAGTATTTATTTAAAATAAAAAATGCACATACCTTTTGTCTCAACAATCTTTTGGAAATCGATTCTATAGAAAATAATTGTATACTTAAAAAATACATATATAAGGATACTTATTCCAGCATTGTTTATAATGGCACAAAATCTGGACAAATCTGCATTATCTATCAACAGAGAAATGTTTTCAAATATTATAGCACATTAATACATATATTATGTAGCTAGTTAAAAGGATAAGGTAGATAAATATCTTTAAAAAACAGTTGAGTAAGAAAAAGCTAAAGAAAAATATATATGCTATAATTATTTGTAAAAGTAAAGATCAAAACTTTTATATGTATATGTTTCTGAAAACATTGGAAAAAGTATTGAGGGAAACATTAATTTTTTAACATTGTTTTTTATCTAGGATTGGAATGAAGAGAGTAAAACTCTCTTTTTTAATATATTTCTGAATATATTTTATATATTTCTGTGTTGTTTGAATTGTTAAAGCGAATGCTTATTTCCTTTAAAAGTAGAGTAAATAGAAACTGAAATGAAGAAGTGGTCTTAGAATTTAAACTATTTTTAGATTTAGAGCTAAGAGAGTTAAGTCAGTCTTCAGTAAAAGAGACATTAAAAATATTGAAGACAGAACCCATGAAGTAGGATTTGTTTCACAGCACAGTCCTAAATGTATAAGGGCTGTGATGGCTTCAACTGTTCCACAGGGAAATGCAAATAGAGTAGTTCTTCATAAAATTTAGGGTTTTTTTGGTTTGAAACACATTTCTTTTAGGAAATCATGGTGGCAAAGGATGGCAGGACTTTACAAATATATACTGTTATTTGTCAGGATTAAAAAGTTAGCAGTCTTATATCAGTTCCCACATTGTTAGAAATGCTACTGGTCTATAAAATCTCAATGTCTGGAAAAACAAATCTATAGCAAAAATAGAAAACTAAACCCTAAATAAGAGAAATTTCTTCCTCTATGATAGAGGAAAACAAGTATACATGGTTACAGTTATAGACAGACTTTGTAGGTACAGGGAAAGAAGTTGAAGACTGTAATATGAATGTTGTGGTAAGATCTTTTGCTGTGTTGAGGAGCTCAGCAGGAGTGATTGTGAGGTTGAGACTTGAGGGCAGTGATAAAAATGTGGAAAAGGAGCTATGGGGAATGGACAATCAACCTAAGAGTGTACTGGAGCTTTCAAATTTAGAGTCATATTTGTCTGTATTTTATTCAGATTGTCAGCTCTACTATGAAATTATCCTTGGTTCCTATATTAGTCAGGGTTCTGCAGAGAGACAGAACCAACAGGATATATATAGAGAGATGAGAGAGGATTAATAAGGGAAATTGGTTTAAGCGATTATGAAGACTGAGAAGTCCCACAACAGGCTGTCTGCCAGCTAGAGACACTGAGGTGTGAAGTCTGAAGGCCTGGGCACCAGGGGGCAGTGCTGGTGTAAGTCCTGGAATCCTGGAGTTTGGTGTTTTGATGTGCAAGGGCAGAAGAGTGTATCCCAGCTCCGGAAGACTGAGACCAAGTTGCCTTTCTTTTGTGTTTGCTCTACCTGAACCTCAGCTAATTGGATAGTATTTGCCCACATTACAGGCAGATCTTCCCCATTTAGTCCACTCAGTCTCACACACCAATCTCTTCACAGACCCACCCAAACATAATGCATTGCCAGCTGTCTTGGCATTCCTAATCCAGTCAAGTTACAGCCACAGCTAGCCATCACCACCCCCTTTGTATTTTCTCCCTCTTTTGATACCATCTCCGTTCCTAGACTTCGTTTTTATTCCATTATGGCATTTATATTCTTCCTTAGTTTGTTTTTGTATTAATACTTACCTGAACCCACTAAACTGTCTCTGAGACACTGTTCATCTATATACACATCAAAGCTCCCCCTAGATCGATGTCCAATTGCTTGTTGCTGAAATAAATTTAATTCCATATAGAAAATGGTTGGATAGTATTAGCCTGATTAAAACACTTCACAGTTGTGAAAACAGAAATAAACCATTTTATAATAAACCATTATTATAATAACCATTTTATAATAAACTAATTTTATTTTGTATTGATCAAAGTATTGATCTTAATGGAGCTTTATCAGGAATAACTGTTATTATTCTTCATTCTTTTTGTTTTTTTTTGAGACACAGTATCACTCTATTGCCCAGGCTAGTGTGCTGTGATGTCAGCCTAGCTCACAGCAACCTCAAACTCCTGGGCTCAAGCCATCCTCCTGCCTCAGCCTCCCCAGTAGCTGGGACAGGCATGCGCCACCATGCCCGGCTAGTTTTTTCTATATATTTTTAGTTGGCCAATTAATTTCTTTCTATTTTTAGTAGAGACAGGGTCTCGCTCTTGCTCAGGCTGGTTTCAAACTCCTGACCTTGAGGGATCCTCTAGCCTCGGCCTCCCAGAGTGCTAGGATTACAGGCGTGAGCCACCACCCTGGCCCTACCTTTCATTCTTAAAGATGCCATTATGAGTTTCTGTAGCTGTGTAACAGGATTGATATTTTAAGTGCCTGGAAAAGTGCCACATACCAATTGGGTATTTAGGTGAAGGCTGTTTTATGATGTGTCTATCATTTGTGTTTTTTATGGTTACAATCAAATCTATATAAAATGTTGACACTTATGGTTGGTATATCAACTTTACTCTTCCATTTTATAGCTCATCTTTTATTTATTTAAAACTCTGTACCTTTTATTATATTATAAATAAAAATATTAAAACAGAGAAAATAATAAATCTCCATGTATAAACATAATGAGAAGCATGCTGTATACAAAAATATACATGGTCTTTTCCCTGGGGAAACAAGAGATGTCTTATTACAGACCACCACTCTCTCTTCTATTTGCACATGAAAAAAACCACTAGCTCATTGGCATTAAGAATGCTTTTCCTTAAAACATGCTCTCAAAATACCTAGGAGGCCAATTATAAAAAAGTGAAAAATTATCAGCCAAGGAATAAATACATCAAAATGTTTGGCACTGTTTAGTTTTGCTAAAACTATACTGTCATCATCAACTTAAAAACTATAGTTTTCTATTTGGCAAATGTTATTATTTGGGCTTTAATTAAATTTTGATAAAGAACATTTTCCCAAGAACAAAAAAGGCACTTTTAAATATAAAACACACACACACAGAAGAATGTTGCCATCAGAAGTCTCTATTAGGAGTTACACTCCTAGAGAATCCTAAAGATTGTACACAAGACAAAGCTACATCTTTAATTCTGCTGGATGGCTCATAGTAACAGTGTTTTTTGATCTGGTTATATCATAAAATTCTTTTGCTTCCTGCAACATTTTGAGAAATATGTAATTCTTTCAACACTGATTTTTCACTGTATCATCCTTCATAAAGTCCTTTGTAATATAGTATTTGCTCTGATAGTGACAGGGAAAGGCACTTCATAAGAATTTTGTTGTTCATCAGAAGAAAGCATTTTAACTCCTCTAGATTATTGTTCCCTCAAATATCACAAATACTGTAAAGCCATCTAAAATTCCTAAACCTCAAAGACAAATACATTGTAAAACACTGTTTACTTTGAAAGACACAAGGTTGCTATTCATGTATTCCTTCAGGATTTATCAAGTCTTAAGTGCCAGGCGCTGCTGTTATGAAAATAAGACATCGTCCCAACCGCAGTGTGAGAAAATAAGACATCATCGTCCCACCCTCACAGTGTGAGACACACGCCGAGCAGACCTAACACAACGCAGAGAGGAGGCTGCCAGAGAAGCGACGCGCCCATTGCAGGGAGCGGGGGACACCAACCGGCCTAGTCTGCGAGAACGTGGGAAGCCGTCAGGCGGCGCGGGCTCGGCCAAGTGCGGAGGAAATCCATCCTGGGCAGGGTCAGCGTGGCTGGGGAAGAGCCAGGCGCGCGGAAAGGAGAAACAGGGCCGCTGACAAGAAAAGGTGCGAGCGCGCGGACAGGCCGAGCGCCCTGGGCGGTGGGGAGCGGCGCTTCACCGGCGGGGAGCCCTAAGCGGGACAATGGCGTGGGCAGGGGCCCGGAAGGACAGCCGGGTAGAGGAGGGTGGGAAGGGCAGTCAGGATCTCCCAGCAATTGTCCAGAAGAGAAATGGTAAGGCTACAGAATCCGTGACCTTCAAAAAGTCAGTAAAGACATTTCTTTTGCAAAACAAAAGATGTGACGACCCGCTGGGACGAGTTGACTTTGAATGGCGCACACGTCGCAGACCCCAGCGAAAAACACCTGTCATCAACCGCAAAGTGGGGGTCTTTTTAAAAGTTAATCATTATCAGGTTTAATTTTTTGATGTGGGATTAAGACAGGGGAAGAGCCCCGAGGCTCGATGAGTCACGTGGGAAACCTCTCGCCTTGGCATTTAAAAAATGCCCACCAGAAGGCAAAGGAAGAGGTGGGCTTACAAGTTGCTGACACTTCAACCTTCCGGCAGGAAGTGTGTCAGGTGGGCAACTCCGCCAGGTGAACACCCAGTCCACCACCAAGCAACATACGGATGCTCTTTTCAATATCAGATTACCACAAAAATCGGAGAGCACACGCCACGCATACCCTGTCAAGTCCAGTTCCCCAGAAGTCTCTTTTATTGTCCTCCACGACCAAGCCAGTAAAGGCCACCAAAACAGCGAGGTCACCAACCTCCACACGCGGCGCATGCGCACAATCCGCAGCTTGAGCGGAGGGCGGGGCGGGAAAGATGTTTCCCAGAAGGCCCCTGCACTCGCAGCTGCCCTTCCTCCCGCTCAGAGGCCGCGCGACGTGACTCCGCCCACCACGTTTCTCGGGCTCAAGCGGTGGTTTGCCAGCGCCCCCCTGCGGTCCGGTTGAGCGCTGCGGCCGTGCACGCAGGGCCCGAGCGAGCGAGCAAGCAGTGTGGCAGGTCCGGGCGCTGCCATCGTCACCGTAGCGCGCCGACAAGTGGCGGCGCGGCTGAGCGGAGCAGAGAGAGGAAGGGGGGAGGAGGGAGACGCACGGGGAGGGGAGGGAGGAAGCTAGACAACGGGGGAAGGGGGAGCAGCGGTGGCGCAAGCCGCGCGGAGCAGCGCAACCCGGGTCCGCTCCCTTTACCGCCGCCTCCCGGCCCGGTCAGCGGCGCCGGTGCCCCAGCGTCCCCGGAACACCTCAAAGCGGACGGAGGAGTCCATGTTGGGGAACTTGGCGGCAGAGTGACGGGGACCTAGGGATCTGCGGTGGGGCCGCCGCCGCCGCTGGACCAAGCGCCTCGACCTCGGCCTGAGGTAAACACGGGCCGCCCCCGGGGGTGGGAGCGTTGGGCCGGCTTGGGCAGCCGTGGGGCGAGGTGGGGCTTAGAGGCCCGCGCCGAGCGGAGGAGTGGGCCTGCGGCGACCAGAGGGCGGATAAAGTTTCGGAATCTCCCACGGCCCAGGCGGCGTCCTGCGCTTGGAGGAAAGTTGGAGCTGCCACTCGAGGTGGGGGAGGCTGCAGCCGGGAGGGCCCCTTGTTTCTCGCTCCCCTCAGAGGGAGGCCCTGCTCTGGCCGCCGCCGCCTCACGGTCGGCTCTCCGTCCCATTTCCTCCTTGTGGCCTACGCGCCTCCCGCCGCCTTAGCTGGCGAAGCCTGTCCCCGCCCGGGAGCGAGGTCCCACGGCGGGGAGAAGGGGCTCCACGCTAGAACCGTCACAGGCCCGCCGTCCACCTCCCCCCCCACAGTGGAAACGTGTCCGGCTGGGCTTCCGGGAGCTCTTGACCCCCGTGTCTGCGTTACTTGGGAGACTTTGCTTTTGTCGCTAGCATCCAAGCCCGCTTGTGAAACCAAACTTTATTACTGCGCTGTGACCTCTCGAGTGCGCGGATAGGGAAGAGCTGGCGCTTCTAAGCATCAGCTTTTTACTCCATGCTCTTAACTTCAAACTACTCTCCCACCCCTATTTTTTAAAACTCGCTGCCTGGGCTAACAGCTAAAGGTCCAGGAGATTTAAACTTAGGCTAATCAGTAGCCCCTTCTCAGACCAGAATTTTGGACCATTGAAGAGATTTCTTACAGATGGCTGGCGGTCTTGCCACCTACACGTATTTTGAAAAATTGTTTTAAAAGTAGGCACCTGATTTAGAGTACTTGATTAAAACATTAGCAGATTCAAATGTCGAATCTTGAAATCCCTCTCAATATGTTTCTGTACTGTATTACATAGTATCTATGAGCTGAGTGTTTTTCAGTCATTTTGGATGACATTTTAACTAACATACTCATACTACCAGTGAACTAAGATATTTAAGCAAACCTGATGAAAAAGTTTTTAATGCTTTGGCTAGTGGTGTTGGTCAGTAGTAACATGCTGATCTTACATTTTCTCTAATTTGGGAATTTCCCTCGAATTTTGGGGAAAGCATATTAATAAATGCATTATTTTCTTGTTTTAAAAGAAAAAATCATGCAGATGAGTATCTCAGCAGCAGAATATTGAAGACAATAAGTTCTTTTTTTTTTTTTTTTTTAATTTTTGCGACAGAGTCTCACTCACTCTGTTGCCCGGACTAGAGTGCCATGGCGTCAGCCCAGCAACCTCAAATTCCTGGGCTCAAGCGATCCTTCTGCCTCAGCCTCCCAAGTAGCTGGGACTACAGGCATGCACTACCGTGCCCAGCTAATTTTTTCTATATATATTTTTAGTTGTCCAGCTATTTTCTTTCTATTTTTAGTAGAGACAGGGTCTTGCTCTTGCTCAAGGTGGTCTCAAACTCCTGAGCTCAAATGATCCTCCGTCCTGGGCTCCCAGAGTGCTAGGGTTACAAGGTATGAGCTACCGCACCTAGCCTGAAGGCAGTAAGTTCTTAAATAGCTTGGTTTTGTATTTTATTGGTAATTGTATTAAAATTCTGGTATGTAATCAAAACTCTTTCCAGGTAGTTGCTTTCTCTTTCCTGTTTCTTTGGTAGTTGGCTTAATCATCTCACTGCTTTGCTATTGGTTAAAAGCTGCTGGAGAAAGTTTGTGGGCCTTTTGATTTTGTTGTTTTTACTGATTGGGCAGGTAAAATGAATTTTTGAAACTGTCTTTGGATTTCTTTTGTTTATACCATTCTATCAAAGATAATCCGAATTTATTTATATTGTATTTATGCAGTAATAATCATTCCATTTCACATTCAGATAGTGACTTTTGCCTGAGAATATGAGTACATTTTAGGGTTTCAATAGGGTAAAATTGGGGTGTTTGCTTACTGCAAGTATAGTTACGCTGTAAAGACATTCTTCACTATGTTCAGGGAGAAGAAAACAATAGAAGAAAATGTAAAACTATTCCTAAATATGCTTCCTGAAAGCATGTGTGGTGGAGAAAATGTTAAGGAGAATTTTTTGTTGTTAATATGTACATGTGGTACATATTAATGGGGCCACTGGGTTAATATAGAAACTTTTCAGGGGTTATTTAGCTTACCCATCATCTTTGGGGACTAACTAGGGGTTAGGCAATTTTCTTGAAAACCTGTGCTGTTAATCAGCAGAGATAGGATGAATCAGTGCAGTTACATGATGCTGTTGATTCATCATCAATAGCATCTTTTAGTAATAAGAAAGTACAGTATTATACTACCCACCAACTTAATACTGAACTTTTTAGGTACATCAGAGAGATAGTGTAAAACCTTAATTAAAGAGGGTGGCAAGCATAAAAGTAATAAAAAGAGAGTCAGCTATAGAATAATTTTCATTTTAACTTTACTTTAGCAAGCTCTCCCATCATCTGCTCTTGTCTTTTAATGATGTCAATGGGATCTTGACTTACCTTGCCCAGTGAAGTAAAGAAATGTAAAACACAAATAATTATATCCTCTGTCTCCAAGAATAAATTAATAGCCTTGCACCTTGCTTATATCTAAGCAGTAATAACTGTTAGTAGCACGGAGTAGAGCCCAGATTTAAAATATCCAGTATCATTCTGTTGCTATTTCCCAAACTCATCTTTGCATTATATTTTTTTTAAGTTGTGGCTTTATAAATTCCTAGTAGTTAGGCACATAAAAATTCAATATAAAATGTAAAAACATCATCATCATCTCTTGCTTACAAAGTAATTTCCTAAAAAGTCACTATGACCTTTCCCTGATCTACATACAGTCTTTAACACTCAATAGCCAGAGTGATCCTGATAAAATGTCAGATCATGTCACTTCTCTTCCCAAATGGCTTCACTTGCCAGTCATAGTAAAATCTGCCCTTACTATGATGTAAAAGGGTTCTGAGTGATAGGAATCTCATCTCTGACTTCATCTCCTTACACTTTGTCCAGCCTCATGACTATTCTGTATAAAATAGCAGCCCCTCCTCCTACATTTCCTATCTCTTTTTACCCAGCATTTTTCTCCATAGCATTTATCACTTTTCGACATACTGTATACTTTACTATCTTAAATTTATTATATTTTTCCTTTAATGCAACTTCTGTGCGATCAGAGCTTGTCAGTTTTGGTCACTGTTCTGTTCTTTAAACACCTGAACAATTCCTGACATGTAGTAGGTACTTAATAAATATTTAATGGATTAACATGCTTTTGGCTATAAATGTTAAAAATAGTAATTGTTGTTTGAAACTTTAGTTATCCTTCCAGTGGATCTGGAAGGATAACTTAGGAGGCTTTGCAGTAGTCTGGAAGAGATGAGGATAACTTGATTTAGGATGAGAATTGTGGAGATGGGCTAAATGCATGGGATTTGAGATCAGCAGACATTAGTTGATAGATTGAAGGTGAGGGAGAAGGAAATTTCAAAGATGACTCTGGCTTACCACAGCTAGGTTGATGGTGGTGCCATATAAGGACCAAAGTTCTTTTTGATTTTGTCACATGGGACTTGAAGTATTAATACCTTTGGAGCTTTCAGGTAGCAATTTCTGTAGGTAATTAGATATATGAATCTGAAATTCAGAGGAGGGGTATGAACTGGGAATAGAAAATTGGAGTCACCTATATTGGTTATTGAAACTGTAGGTATGGGTGAAATTGCCTAGGGCAGGGAATATAAATTGGGGGTGGGGCGGGGGAGAGAGCCTTCAGTGGAACCACAATGACCTCTAATATTAAAAAAAAAAAGGTTTGCTGCAAGAATGTAAGCTCTCAAAGAATATAAGAAGAAGTAGGTGAGTGGGGTTACAGAAACCAAAGGAAGAAGAGTGCTCCCAGGGGATAGTATTAGGGTTAACTGTTGATGAAAATTTAATAAGGTAAGAAGTAAAAAAAATTTTGTTGGCTATAACCACATGGAGCTCATTGGTCTTCTGAGCAAGCAGAATAGTAAGCTGCTTATTTTCAAACTGATACTCCTGTAATTGCTTAACTAGATCTAAAAGTACTGAGATCAAAGTGTAAGAAATTATCCACTGACGTTAACAGAAGGAGCTAATGTTTATCAATTATTTACTATGTGTCAGCCACTCTGTTGTAGACATTTTACATACATTTCATTTGATCTTTTCAGTAACCTTGCAGTGTTGGATGTATTAATCCGTTTTATAGAAATGAGTCTGGGGCTCTAGAGAAGTTAAGTGACTTGTTAAGTGTCAGCACTTGGTAAGTATTATAGATGAGTTGTAGATAAGTTCATCTGACTTTTTGGTCTTTAGTTGTTATATCACTTGGCCTCAACCTCTAGATCAGTGCTGTTCAGTAGATATTTCTGTGATGATGGAAATATTCTGTATCTGCACTTACACAGTAGTTAATATTGACATGTGGCCATTGAGCACTTAAAATTGTGGCCAGTGCAACTGAGAAGCTGAAGAGTGTTTACTGTATTGGCCATGCAGATATCAATCAAAGGTGACTGAACATCTCTGAAATAGTGAAGCAGAATCTTAGAAGAGGTGAAAATACATGTTGTTTTTCATTTGAAAGAACTACTGCATTGCTTATCTGCTAGTTTAGGTGCTGTAAATGAATTTTGTAGATAACTTTTTAAAAAAAACAATCTCAAACTTTCAGAAAAGTTCCAAGTACATAACCCTTCAAAAAATCAGGAAATCAACCTTGTTATATTACTACCTTCTAACTTCAGACCCTCTTCAAGTTTTGCCAATTTGCACAGTAATTTTCTTTGTAACAGAAGAATTCAATTCAGAATTCTGTGTTGCATTTAATTGTAATGCCTTTTTAGACTCCTTCCGACCTAGAAGGTCTTATATTGACTTTCATGACCTTGATACTTTTTAAAGTTTATAGGTTTTGTTTTAAAATGTTTCCCAATTTGGGTTTGCCTGGTATTTCTTTGTGATTAGATTCAGA